GGAAAGTGGGTCCCACGGGCTGTGCTGCGCGCAGGGGACTCGGGTGCAGAATCCCGGGGTCCCACGTGGATCGGACCTGGGATGCTCGCGGCCTTCCTCCCTCTCACCAACCCGGTCCAAGACCCGACCCCCGACCCCGTCTAAGACCCGCCCATCGACCCATGCAAGACCCGCCCCCACCCCGCCCAAGACCTGCCCCCTGACCTCGTGCAAGACCCGTCCACTGCGAGGGATGCCCTGCTGTCAGCGAGTGGGGGGAAAGGGGCCAGGGTCTGCGGATGAACAGGGTGGGGGGTCCCGCCCCAAGAAGCACCCGGCCTGGCCCCGCGAGAAGGTGAGAACGAGGCCTGTGTTCATTAGCAAGTTGTTCTATTTTTTATTTTTAAAAATATATATTTTTATTGATGTCAGAGAGGAAGGGAGAGGAAGAGAGAGAAACATCCATGATGAGAGAGCATCATCGATGGGCTGCCTCCTGCACGCCCCCTACTGGGGGATCGAGCCCACAACCCGGGGGCATGTGCCCTGATGGGGAATCGAACCCGGGACTCTGGAGGCCAAGGCTCTACCCACTGAGCCAAACCAGCGAGGGCTCAGTCTTTTAAGATGTGCTTTTCCTTGTGTCTACCAGATACCCATTTAACTTGGTAGAAAGTGCATCAAGCAAATTAACAAACAAACAAACACGTAATCAGAACGATCAGGACCCTACACTATGACCTCAGAGGTCACCTCCCCTCTCTTAGCCTTGGTTTACCTGTGTGTGAAATGGGTTGTCTCTGCAAGGCCCTGACTCTGCTGTGGTTAGAGGATGTGTGTAAGGTACTCAGCCCAGCGCCGGGCGCACAGTAGGGCAAGGGCACACAGTAGGGCTACTTGGCCGCAGATATGGGGCCGGAGGGGTCCCTGTGTCAAGTTCAGGGGGGGAGAACTCCTCTTGTCCTTTACCCCCAGCAGCAACCAAGTGGACCTCCTGCCTCGTGCCTTCCCGTGGCCGGCTCCTCTGGGAAGTTGGCAGGGGAGGGCTGGGTGGGGACGGGACAGGGGTGAGGCCGCTTGTACTCAGCAGGTCCCTCTGATCCCCATCAGTCAGAACGGCGTCAGCACAATCTCATCCCGGAGCCGCCCTGGGGACCGCACCACCTCCCACCGCCCTCCATCCAGGTTC